TTCACTTGTATCTCGTGGATACCCCCTAAACGGGGACACTGAGAGCAACACGACAGTTGCAACAAAATTTGATTGGAGCACGTGTGTAAAACTTACCCGGGAGACAAAAATTTGTCTTCAGAGAACAAATCAAAAAAGATTCAGGAAATCGATTTATTCCAATGTTCTTTTCCAACATGTGCGTAAGTTAGGACTAAATGAGTCTTATCTCGATTGGGCGGGGGGGGNGTGGGGGGGGGGGGGGGGTGAGGAGAGCTTGTCTTTCACAAAACGCCAGAAGAATGTTGCGATCAACACGTGGCTCATCGGTTGCAGAGACTGATCATTCGCCTAATGAAGTTGACGGTAAAATTCCAATGAACGAAATCACTCAGCCGAACAATTGAAATTTTCAGAAAAGTAAACTCCACAAAATTGCATTCTTTTGGGTTCGGACTAGACGTACGAGCATCTCTGACTTAGTCTCCAACAATAATGCGGAAGAGAGAGAGAGAGAGAGAAAGCGCACAACTGGAGAACGACAATCAGTGTATTTTAAGATCACAGTACTATATGTGCAAGTATATAAAGGGCAAACGAGATAAGATGCAGGAAAGAAACAATGACGCACCAATAACATTGCATCCTTGACCCTTCGATTGGTTAATCCGATTCGTTCCACAATCAGCCAATCCGAACTCGACTTGGTTTTGACGTCACCAGCGCGCTTGTTACGTATCGCGGACCTGTGCGCGGTCTGAAACATTACGGAACACTTGTCTGTTGTTGCGAATTTGGGGCTATAACTGGGTCGGTGAAACACCGATAGCTTATCGAGCGAAGTTGCCTAAGAACAGTGATGAAAATATCAAACAAAAAGGGGCCTAAGAACCATACCTACTGGTTTCTGGTGGTCACTGAGACCTTAGTGCACCAAATGCTCCACCACCGAGCAAAACTGCCCTACTCGGAGATTTGGATTCATACGGGTCACCGGGTTGCGAAGCCAGACGCCCCACCATTATGAAACTACTAGCCTAAATCTTAACAGTCCCCTTAGGGGTACTGTTTCAGAAATCCCTGGAGCAGGGCTTCCGCTCAGGTGCCGGAAAACTGCCGTTCTGGTGGCTTTGTGCGATAGCAGGAGTAGAACGGAGTTAGAGTATTGCATATTAGTTTGCTTATACGGTATTATATGCAAATGTTTAGGAAAAGTAATCGAAACCCTTTTTAGAAGCTATCCCTTAGAGCACTTATTACCAAGTGACGCCCAATATGAGTTCATAAAATATAGAACTTTCTTATATAACCTACTATGTTTTATGAAAGCGATAGCAGAAAGATTTGATGAAGGCATGTTGTCTTGACTTTAGCAAGACCTTTCTTTCAGTACGTAAAGGGCTATTCTTATATAAGTTAAAATTTTATGGAATTGTGGGAAAAGAAGAGAACGGCTGAGTTCCTGTGTAGTAGGACCTTATCTGTAATGATAGGAGACGACAGCTCCTCAGTCGTCTAGGTTGCTGCTAATGCGCCATAAGATTCCGTCTTAGGCCCTCCACTATTTCTGTCCTTCATACATGACCTCAAGAAGATTTCCAGCTAATTGCTGACTTGATTAGGAAATTAGCTAACCACGCATTGAACTTGCAACGCGTAGTACAGATGCAGCCAGTCTATAAGTAGGTGAGCAATCAATACACAACAACCAGCACCCGACGCGATACATGACATCAGAATGCGGATAAGCTGCATCGTCAAACAGTCAAGGANCAAGAAGATTTCCAGCTAATTGCTGACTTGATTAGGAAATTAGCTAACCACGCATTGAACTTGCAACGCGTAGTACAGATGAGCAATGAACACACAACAACCAGCACCCGACGCGATACATGACATCAGAATGCGGATAAGCTGCATCGTCAAACAGTCAAGGACTCAATCAATACGAACAGTTCAATAGTGACACCTAATTGGTTTAGGCGAATCGATCTTATTATTAGAGCAGGTTGGCCTGATGTGCCTGCGTGCATGTCTGATAGCAAGCAGCATCAAGCCATAGGTATCTAGCGGTAAACGTGTTCGCCAACTGTAAGCCTCAACACTCATCATGCTTCATCTTCTCCGATGATATAGGTAAAGCCGAAGGGAGCAGGGACACTCCGTAGTAGGCACGGTTGACGAAGCTTAGTGTTTGGGAGGAGACCTCATTTTGAGTACCCAAACACAGCTGGGAAATAACTCCCCCAACTAAAATCAGCACAGTCGTGCAAGATGATTGAAGTATTTATTCCTATTTGTCAGACCGTCATAAGACCTCATCTAGAGTACTACGTAGTCGACTTCCCACAAGAAGGATTCAGCTTGCCTTGAAAAGGTGTAGTGTGGTGATCCGGGCCTACGAGATGAAGCGTACCCTAGAGCGACGCGTTACAGTTTGTGGACAACTGTGACTAATCAAAATTCACGTGTGAGGTCAACAACGCGCATACGTGTCATTGCTTCTGACTACATGCCATAGGTAGATTATACCAGCCACGCAGAGACCGTACGGCCCAGGTAGAAGTAGAACGATGCCAGGAATACTGGAACGCGGTTGGTAGGAGCCTGAATAACCAATGAGCCTTCTTTGTACATATCATTTAATCCCCTTTATTTCTTCCAATAAACGAACTGCTACCCCTATGGCCTATTCCTCGCGTCTCGGTTACGTGGAAAGTTGCGTGCTAGTGCCAGTGCGGTCCAGTGTTGACGTGTTCCAGTCCGTGATTCCTAATTCTTGAATCGTATTCCGTGATCCACATTGCGTGGTTCTTATTCCGAATCCAATGCGTACTACTAATATCATTACTACAATCATTACAGTATGTCTCCATTGTTTTGCAGTTGAAGATTGAAATGTGTTATTTCTCCATGAGGGTGATGTACGTATTCACTTACCAATCATTTTTCGTGATTGATTTTTGAGGAGAGGATGGCCCTTACTCTATGTGGTCCCTGGTCCCTGCTCTTCTCTTCCGTTACCTCTGATGTTTTATCAAAGTATTCTTTTTGTCCGTCTGCTTTTCTCTTTTTACACGATCAATTTCCACCCATCCCCGTGAGTGCATGGATTGTATGTTTGCTGAATAAGCTGTGATTGAGAGTCCTTGCAGCAATGCTATATTGTTTCGTCAGCTGCACACCTGTTCGACGGATACTTCCATTATTCTCAAATGCATTGATGTATTTTTTAGTACCAAGCATGGCATCCCATTTTTTGCCTGTTTGCAGTGAACTACTACCATTCCGCAGCACTTTCCGTCATACAACCACACAACCCCCCCCCCAAACCATTACTGTAGCATATCTCGTTAGCACTCGCTTTCAACAATCTTTCTTGGTTCCCTCACATCAATGATGTCTAGGCTACATTTCATTTGGCGCATTCATACCTCAAACACCCTGCTATTTTCATGTACATTTTCTAATTACACACTGCTTTTTCCATTACTGATGTATTATTTTATAACTTTTCTGATTTAAAAACTGAGTATTCCACCCTACTTTCCGGGTCCGTTAAATTCCCATCGACAGTTATTTGTGAATCACGTGTTACCCGTGTAGACTTTGTTCTATTTTGTTGGAACTAAGATCATTGCTATTCGTCCCAAGATAAGCCCGGCTGCATGCTTGCTAATTTTGTGTACAAAACCAAACAATTTTACAACACATTCGACCCCAATTAGAGTCATCGCGGATCAATAATAATCACGCGGAGATAAATCAATAGTAGTGCGTCGTACGGCAATATTCACTCTCTCCATCCATCTGATCCATGGCCTAAGACCGGTTGAACTTTGCTCACTGTGCCATTGATTGGTACAATCTTTTTCTTGCATTGGTCGATATTATTTTGAGTCATATATAATCATCAGAGTAAAGCTTGTAAACTGAATCTTGACTTGTGTTCAACGCCATTAAAATCCCGTCCTGCTGAAACCGTGCCTACTCTCTCTCTCTCTCCTGTTCTGGGAAGCCTGAGAGATCGATAGCCGACCGTGCGTACTTTGTTTCGCCTAGGCAGCATCCGCTCCTAGAACTATCTTTCGTTCACGGACTTAGTGCTAGTCCGCTGTTCCCGTGTTCCCATGTTACTCTGCTCTAGCTTGTGTTCTTTACACTTGTGGTGTTCATCTGTGACATAGTTCTGTGCGACAAAATAGTACGAAACGGATATAAGCAGAGTAAAACAACACATTTTCATGTCTTTGACCAGTTTTCCATAAAGACTGTTGCTCAGCGACTATTACTGTTAGCATAAAGAACTTCTCCCGGTCGTATCCGCTCGTGTTACCCGCGCCCCAACTTAAGCTTTCACCCTTTTCAGAAATCTATCCACAGAAACGGCACAACTGCCTATCTGGCGGGACTTTTAGTCAACCATTCATTCATTGTCGATGAGCTCGAGCAATGCCCATCATGAACACCGAAGGTACTCTGTGTCAGCTTGCTTTTTATACCATTTTTCCACCAAAGGTTTACATCTATCTTCCTTTTCCGTTCATCGTGTTTCAAGCGGTGCATACACCTTGTTCGTACTCGACTGAGAGCAGTCCACCGAATGGCAAAAACAACCACTCCGGATTCTTCTCATGGAATGTCCAATTTTGGTGACGTGTCTCAAGAAGAGAGAAAATTCGTGACCCATTTAGTTCAATGATCGGACAACCCGACCAACCGGATGATAATGAGGATAATCCTTTATACTCGATCAAACAGGTGGCTTGAGGTGTCACTACTATCCGAGTAACCTCTCACAGTCGACTAACATCTTCCGTGGCGATTGAAACGGTATAAGAAAGGTAGAAAGCGACAGAAAACAACAACAAGTGTTCTGTAACATGTTTCACAAGCTCAATTAGAGCAAAAGGTTCTTTAATCGAGAAATTTTTACATGCACAGATCAAGGAACCATGAAGAAGGGAAGAGATTGATGAAAAATAAGAAATTGAGATGAATCGCATCAGACGGACAAAATATCAGACACGTTTCACGCGCGCTATCTGTTGAATCAGGTCAATTAATCGCGAATCGCCCACAAGTTCTCGGTGCCGACCCCCGGGTATTCTCACCACTTTCACTCCCGGCCATGAGTGACACATTTGCAGACTCTTTAAATCCACTGTTCCGTCCCCATCGCCCATAATCAACTGGGGTTTTTGTTCAGGGAAAGCGGGAATGGAGGAAGTCGGCGGACGATAGACGAGTTGATAGGCTGTATCGACTTGGGTTCCATAGACACAATAAACGTTATCGACACCGGTCGGACCGACAAACCCATCAAATAAACCTTTGTTATCCAGATACATTTTATAGCCTATGTATGAGGAAAACCAGAGCGGTGGAACGTTGAATAAAAGTTTTGTGAAAGAAATATACGGCACGAATAAAGATGAAAAAATAGTGAGAGATAGTCTCTTTCATTCTTCTCAGAAAACCCCACCGGAAAAAAACAACTCAATCAGATAAAAACCACTGCAGTAACCATGGTGATGAGGGACTTTATCATTCATTATTATTTTAATTCGTATCGGTTCCGGTGAACGAAAATAAATGCGATTGTAGCAATTCGCCTAAAATGAGTAGTTCGATATTGTTTCAGTTAAATAATTGTCAATTCAGTGATAAAGCTGCCCATGATGTTCTGGCTCCGATTCTTAGTTAGATCGACCAGTGATGATGACACTGAGCGAGGCCAAAACAATTCCGACCTGAGTTTTACACTTCCCTTCCCTATTAACGCATTGGGAACCGAGAGTGCAAAACCGAATGAAACGTCAATTAGGTTCAATATCCCATTCTTCCGTGAACTGCCTTAGAAACTCCTCCTCCTTCCGGAAAAGAAAACTGTTTCATTTGAAAATTTTCTAATTGGATGTCGACAATCACGGGCTCAACAGCTGCGTCGCGATAGGGACACAATACTTGGTGCTGACGAGCTCCCACAAATAGGAACCAGTTGTCCAGTTGATCTTCGTCAGGCATCACACACCAAAACTGTCAGTGTAGATAAAAAGCTGAAAAAACGTGGAAATCAACCAATTCCCGATGTGTGAGATCTACACGAGAATCAAAAGGCACAGACCTCGATGTCAACAGATTTGCTTAGANNNNAAGAAAATGTATAAATTTGTCATTCTACAATCAGCAGGGCGTTTATACCAGACCAATTGAGATGCGAACCTGGGTACTAGTGGTCTTTATTGAAATGTGCTAATCACATGAAACCTCCAAGGGGGTCATTGGAAGCTCTATTTATTTCAAATCACCAGTGGAGGCGTTGGAAGAACGTAAAATCTCTTTATAGAAGACGTGTAACCATAAACACTTATGAGGCCCTAGGAATGCAGAACCTGGCAGGTTACACTACAGTTTCGTTTCCTCAAGACACCGGATGTCTAGATGATACGGATTAACTCGTGATGGAATCCATAATCCAGATTAAATATTGAGTGCCCCAAGCTCCTAGAGCTTCCACAATTAGGCTTCTTCATAACATTTCCAGTTCTAAGAGTCAGTTTAGCACTCAACCACACAAGTTAAGTGCGCGTAAACATGGTCGTCGTTTTGTTAAACGTGATCTCAAACTGCCCACAAAGCCGGTATTAAATCCCCACAAATATTCAACGGGACTCAGCGTAACCCAACCGTTACGTGGATCGTATTTCAAGTGAAAGATTCATAATTTGCTGGGAGGAGGAATACTGACAGATTGACCAGGCCAAAACAGGTAAATATTCCTGGAAAATTCATAACCGAAGTCTTTGACTAGTCAAAGCTTGATCCGAAAAACAGCGCGGCGGTGTGTGAAAGCTTCAGCGTCCAATTTTCATATGCCAGGCAGAGGATTATCATCGGAAGGTTGTACGTTTATCTGCGGACGTGTTATGCATCTGCGGGATTTCAGTGCTTACCCCCAGAGATGTATGAGGGGTGCAATTTACATTTTCATTCTGACTAGCTTGTTTTTTTGGAGCATTCCAAGTCAGCTTCGGACACATTGATGAATTGATTGTTCATTTTGCCTTAGAGATATCCACCGCACAGGCAGATGTAATTGTAAAAGCATCAAATATGGCTCCTATTCCGTGGTATACGTATAATTTGGTGACGCCAGTTTATTAGTGCCATTTATCATGACAACTCAACTAGGTTGTCCTGAGGTTGGCGTGTAGGTAGATGAAAGTAACACCGTATTTATAAAAAACGTTTCTGTGATTTTGTATAACTACTGAATCCAGACCTTACCCAAGGAAACAGAAAGTTTTTAAAACCATACTGAACAGCTAGTTCCATGTTAATTTACAGAATAAAGAGGAAGAAATATGAAACAGGTTGCAATCAGCAAATCAGCGAATAAAAGACTCGCAACATGTGCACCACTGGTGCCGGTTTCAGACCAGGTCGGCGCTCACCATCCTTGGAATCCCAACGTGCAGCTCCCTATAACTGTCAGTTTCAAGGTTGATGGCTTCAACCATCAAGTCCAAATTATTCGTCCCCAATTCCGGTTAGTGTCGGCTCACGCAAACATAACTTGACGGTATCCGCAGCGCATATTCCAGTCGTCAAAAACTTTGGAACAAGATTCTGTCACACAGATAAAGAGAAGAGATCATTTCAATCTCGGTGACGGCAAAAGATAACCTGCATATGACGTTTTGAGCGTCCTTGGAGGAGCAATCAAATATAATGATATCATCTGTGTATTCTAAATCACGAAGTCGACCATCTGGGAGGAATTATACACTAGGCACCCTGCACATTTCTAGAGTGCTGCTTAGGATTTTGTCCATTGCGAAATTAAATTAGAAGAGTGAAGTTGGGCAGCCTCATCCGAGTTACGCTTGTGGAGGCAAATAAAGAGAAATGCGGTCATAAACTTTAACGTAGCCTGATGTTTTTGAGTAGACATCTTTGGAAAGGTTCATGTACTTCGCGGGCAACTCGCTCAACTGAGTCAAACACAGTACGTACGTCCATTAAGACAACTATGCTTGAAGTACTGAAAGTTTAGTGTTGCTCAAGAACCGAACACAGTCAACGCAGCTCCGTCCGGAGTATAATCCGGTCTGTAATTCACGGAATTGATGCTCTCTTATTCAACTGGGCCTTCAAGGAATTAAGGATGTGATCAAATTGGATGCAAGAGAAATGAGGCTAACACATAGTTAGATTAGAGCAATCGTGGAGGGGACCCTTTTGAAAACAGATGCGGCGTCCGCCAAAATTCAGTCGGATGAAATGGTTGCCGTATTCCAGCGAGTTTGGAACAGCGAAATCAGTTCTTGAACAAGATGAATACCAACGTCTTTGAAAAGAGCCGGAGGGAGCCCATGTGTGTTTGGTGATTATTGGCGTTTCATAAGTGAGATTTCTACAGAAAGAGATACCTTTAGTGAATCATGTACATTCTAGTTTTAAGTATGAAATGATGAAGATGGTAACGAAAAGTAGAAATATTCAGTGTTAATAAGTAATAGGCTGCACCTTAGTCTATTAAAAAGGCATCTGTTTGAGATCGGACCGTTTAACGCCATAACAAGCAATTTTCAACATAAATTTACTTGTTATTCCCAAAGACATATCACATAATATAAAAGATTTCTATAATAATTATATTATGCATCATTAGCTCCATGACCCCTAACCGATTAAAGGATACTTTTTCTGGAAACGCATTTTCGAGAAATCCAATAAATGCGCATTTTAATTTCAACTACTTGTAAGTAGTAAAGCGGACACAGGGTTTTTGCTCAACCGCTCTTCCGACATAAGAAATTAGACCTATTGAGGATGTATATTTCATACAATTTTGCCACATCACACACAAAGAACTGGAAAGCATTACACGTGCTGTAAACCCACCTCAACATGACAGCAACATTGGCAGAAATGCCAACATGAAAACAGATAGAATGGCTAACCTTACAGACTATGAGTGCTGGAGAAACTCACCGATTTGCAGGAGCAATGGATATACATCTGTCGATGCCTAACAGGAATAAAATAGCTATTCATCGACTTCACTGATCTTTCGTGCAGCGTGAAAACTTTTCACTTATTCATTCACCTATTAATTCACTAGACGAAGTAACATGTTTAGCATTCAACATTGTCCACCTGACTGTACCGTACTGAGAAGACTGCATGGGATGAAACATTTTTGCCATATCATGCCCAATCCAGTCTGAAATCGCTCAGTGCATGTGCTGCTATTAATCTTTGGTAACCAACAATATAAATTCTGGAATCCAAAACCGAAAAGAAATGCCAAAAGTCGTAGTACCGACCCGCATCAGAGTAAAATGATCAAAGCGTACAGCGACAGTGATGTAAACAATTCAACTACCTTCATCTTCAACACCACCACCACTCCCATCACCAACAACTGTGGACAGCCTCAGTAAAATACAAAGTCTGTCAGGGCTCTATCACAGATGTAAAGCTACATCCATAGAAGATTGCCGCGAAAATATAGCAGCAAACTGCCATCTGGTGTAGGAAAACTCCGCCTGTGCAGAGATGTTCCAGGTAGGTACCATGCCGAATTAAGAACATCGTCCATCAACCACCACCACCGACTAGCGTCTCTGGATTCTGACGGTCTCATGATCGCTCTCAAATTAGTCGCGGTACTCTGCTTGAAAACTAAAAGTACCATTGTCTACTCAATAAGAAAGAAATGAGAGTTATCAGTATTTTGACAATATCAGGTCGAAAACCATCACTCAAGCTTCTCATCCACCTATTTGTGGAAACTTTCTCTTCCCTAAATCAGTTGTAACAGTGAAAAAAAAGAATCATGATACTACATGATGCATTTTCAGGGTCACCTTTCTGCATCCTACATGTTGTCCACAGCAATGAGTGCATTTTAATTTAGCCAATTTGAAAAGAAATCTATTGGCGTACACCCTGAAAAAAGCTATTCTGGGGCAACCAATTGGAAAAAGGATAATCGAACTGCGATAATTGATTGGAAACCACAGCCCATTGGAACGGTTGACAACGATCCAGCCAGCTAATCCTTTTGCAGATGCATTCCAATGCCTTACCCGTTCTCGATAAATTAGCATGCTTTTGAACAGTAAATAATTTCTAAACACCTCAAACTGTGTTCGATTTCACTATCTGTGCAGTCGCCTTCAGGACGACAAACACAATCGAAAGAAGATAAGTTAGGAATTGACATAGTTCTGTGCAGTCGTACTAAAAGCCTGAAAACGCCTCTCACTGAGACGGCGACCGAATGGCAAGATTTTGTTTTTGTTGGCGTAGTACAGAGCATCACTGAGGGATTGCTATA